AAATCTTGCCAGACATTAAAAAGGGGGAGTCTGAAGTTGCATGTCCCTAATACATTTAGGGGGAAACCCTAATATGGTTTTATTGCTTGTCTTATCACCTTCGTTTCATTTACTATTGTTTATTAAGTCTCTTTCATGATTGCACATCTCTAAATAAAGTTTTAAAACGATTCATTTTTTAGCATGCATAATTCAATTGTTAAATTTGAGTTTGACCATGATGCTTTTAGTTAATTAGTTGAGTTAATGGAAGAAGAACCATATATGTTATTGATTAATATTAGGTTGAAAAAAAATTCTCAAAATATTTTGAAAATCATGAAAAAATTGAGATTTTGTGTGCATGATTCGAATCATGTACATATCCTTACTCAAGTCAAATTGAACAGAGGCAAACCAAAGTTTTTCAAACACTTTGACTCAGGTCATACTTTTAACTTGATTCGAATCAAGCAGATATATGACTCGAATCACAAGAAGCACTCGATTCTAATCAGATAGATCTTGGTCACCTCTGATTCATTTGATTTGATTCAGACTTTACACTTGAATCGAATTAGAAAATTTTTTTACATTCTCTGACTCGAATCAGGGTTATTAGGTGATTTGAATCACACGAGAAATGGGTCAAATTCTTTATGTTTTCTTATTCCACTTCACTTGCTCATTTGACTCAAATCATGAAATGTTCTTAACTCGAATCTAACTAACGTTTTCCATCCATTTTGTGTTTAATCTCAAGCACATATAAATTAATTTTTTCATCTCATTTCATATAGAACAACTTTACATAATTTCTTAATCAACATTGTGATTTTGTGGAAATTAACACCCTTTCACTTTTGAAAACTCAAAAACTCTTGGAATGTAAATTCTTTCATCTTTAACCTCTAGTTTTTATTTCAGATCTTGATAATGAGATGTTTGTAATTAATTGAGGGAGACGATGTCCTTGAAACTAATCGTTCTTGAAGGTTTGGTAATTTTTTCAAGTAATTTACAAGATTGAGGTTGTCGTCATTGGTGCTGACAAATTTCAATGAAGAATGAGGTTATTTTTTCCATGTGACCTTGGTAAAGACCTATGTGGAAGAAGACGGGCAAGGTACAGTTCTTCTCAAATCTTCAAACAGTTCATCGCTCAAAAAATTGGTGGGATCAAAAGGAGATTACCACACATGAAGACTATGAGCAGATTCGTGATGCAGGAAGATTCAAGAAGCGAAAATCGAGTAAAGATTTTGCAGAAGAGTTTAGCATTAAGATGTATATAAGTCAAGATCCTTAAAGGACACTTATGTTTCTCATAATTTTTATGGACTAGTGATTGTATAAACTCTTGCAATATTTGTCAAAATAATAAGGAACAAAACAGGTTCCAATGGGAAACCATTGAAAGGTGGAGTAGGAAAAACGAGGACGAACGTTGAACCTCTCTCTCTCTCTCTCTCTCTCTCTCTCTCTCTCTCTCTCTCTCTCTCTCTCTCTCTCTCTCTCTCTCTCTCTCTCTCTCTCTCTCTCTCTCTCTCTCTCTCTCTCTCTCTCTCTCTCTCTCTCTCTCTATCTCTATATATATATATATATATATATATATATATATATATATATATATATATATATATATATATATATATATATATATATATATATATATATATATATATATATATATATATATATATATATATATATATATATATATATATATATATATATATATATATATATATATATATATATATATATATATATATATATATATATATATATATATTATATATATATATATATATATATATATATATATATCACACACACACAGCACACACATTTAATTTTTGTAGAATACTTCATCATCAGGTCTTCAATTCTTAGCGTAGTTTATCGTTTATTCAGTTGATAGCGATTTTCTATGTAAGGTTATGTTTTGTTAGAATTGGTACCTATTTGAGCCTTAGTGCTGATTAAGCTTTTGAAAACTAGTGTTGTTAGAATACGATCATATTTGAAATATTGTACATAACATATCCTCGTGTAATCTCCACTCGTTCAATTAATCATTGTCTTTAAACAATCTGTGAAGTTTGTAAATTGTGTATTTGTCAACGTGGTTGAAATCCAAGATAAGCATAAGTCTTTATTTTTGCCTTAAGACTTTTGCTCGCAATTTTGAAAAACCTATGCTATTCCATTTTTGGAAAATTGATTGAATTTTTAATAAGGGTCTATTCAAACATTTTCGACTCATGGTGAGTCAAGTGCCACCACTGGTTCTAACTCTCTCAATTATGTACTTATTCCCCCTAATTTTATACATGTAAAGTCATACCTGTTACAAATCATGATATGCAAACTATAGCTAAATTTGGGTTCTCTCAACCAAGGTTGGAACCTAGATTATTGCTTGCCAATTATGAGCCTAAGAGTGTTAAACATGCTCTCTCTGACTTGTAGTGGAACGCAGCCATGCAAGTAGAGTATGATGCTTTTATGAGTAATAATACTTGGACTCTTGTGTTTATTCCTTCTTAAAGATAGGCTATTGAGTGCAACTGGGTATTTATAGTGAAGGAAAATTTTGATGGATCGATGAACAGATACAACGCTAGGCTTGTGGCTAAGGGGTTTTATCAGAGAGAAGTTTTAATTTTAATGAGACTTTCTCTCCTGTAGTTAAACCTATCAATATTAGGATTATTCTCTCCATTCTACAAGTGGTCCATTCAACAACTGGATGTGAACAATGTTTTCCTGAATGGGCTTCTAGATGAGAAGGTCTATATCGAACAACCAAAAGGTTTTGAAAGTTCAAATCCTAATTTAGTGTTCCAACTTAGGAAGGCTTTCTATGGTCTTAAGCAAGCCCCGAGACAATGGTTTGAAAGATTTCAAGATGTTATTTTTCAACTCAAGTTCAAGCCTAGTAAATGTGATCCATCTATATTCACTTATTTTTCTGAAAATCATATGATTTACCTTCTTGTCTATGTGGATGATATAATCATCATTGGGAGTTCATAAACTCTCTTGCAATTAATTATCAACAAACTTAATGTGGCCTTCTCTCTCAAGAGCTTATTGAATCTAGATTATTTTCTTGGTATTGAGTAAAAAGGGTGGACTCTCATTCTCTTGTCCTCACTCAATCAAAGTATATTAAAGACCTTCAAAAGACCAATATGCTTAGTTGCAGCCCTATGCATACTCATATGCAATCTACCAGCAAACTCACAAAAGTTTGCTCTTCTGTTATCTCAGCTCCTTACATGTACAGATCAATGGTTGGGACTTTGCAATATGATATACTCACCAGGCCAGACATAACATACTCTATGAATAAGGTGTGTCAATTCATAGCTCATCCTCTTAAAGCACATTGGATAATTGTTAAAAGGATTCTAAAATATCTTAAAGGCGCTATTACCCATGCTCTTCATCTCACTCCTCTCACCACAACCACATCTCCTTCTATACAAGTGTTTTGTGATGCTAATTAGGCATTTGATCTAGATGACAGAAGGAGTCCTTCTGGTTCTGCAATATATTTTGGCCCTAATTTGATTTTTTGGTGGTCTAAAAAAAATCTATAGTTGCTAGATCCGATACTGAAGCTGAGCACAAAAGCTTAGCTCAAGCCACTATAGATTTACTTTGGGTTCAAACTCTTCTCAAAGAGTTGTTCATTATTTCTTAAGTGCATTTGATTCTATATGATGATCAGTTTGTTGTGCTCCTAGCTCACAATCTTGTTATGCACACTAGAATCGAACACATGGAAATTCATCTTTTTTGTCAGAGAAAAGGTTCTAACTAAGCAGGTAAGTCATTCATGTACCAAGCACAGATTATAGGCTAGGCTAGTGTGCTCACCAAACCTCTTGTCTCTACTAGTATTCATATACCAAGCACAGATTATAGGCTGGTGTGCTGTTTTCTATCTCTAAGGCACAAACTCAGGTTGTGGCCTCCCCTTAAGTTTAGGGAGGATATTAGAGTAGTATTTAGCTAATAGTTTTCCTATCTTTTGTACCGACATCTATCAGCATTAAAAGTAGGATTTACCTGCTATACAAGGTAACCTTGTTATTATTATAAGTAACAAGGTGTCACCCTATTGTAAATAACTTTCAAATCATATAGAATTCAATTACAAGATTAAATCAAAAATCCTAACAAACTCTTCTCTACTCTCAAACAACCTTTACAATTGAACAAGAATTTGACCTACAAAGTTCATGACAATTATCATACATATTTATGCATTGTTAACCGCCAACAATATCAATAAGTGATTTTTCCTTCTATTCCTCTGTCCTTATTGATTTCTATATTTCATTAATGTTGTCTTCTCCATAATATATGCCCACTTTAGATGGATTCTCTCTCAAACAATATATTGCATTGCTTAACCAATTTGAAGTAAGAAACATAACTCAATATTCCCAACTGCAAGTATATGGTTATCAACAATTTTTTTCAAATACCATATTTCTTGTGGTATCTTTGAATGGAGGACCGATCGACCACGTTTTCATGAGCATTAAGTTCCTACCATATTGTATAGCATAAGTCTACACCCCATCTCATAATTCTTATTTTTATGCAAAGTATGTTCCAACTATCCATCATTTTTTTTAGAAAGTTTAAAGATTTGGACAAAAATATGACTCTCAATTTTAGTAGAACAAAAAATAGTCAACTCAGTATCGCCTCTTTCGAAGTAAGAAACACTACTCACCACTCCTTCGCAATAAAGCTCAAATATCACATGCTCCTACCACAACATCTCAAACTCGTTGCAAAGTTGAATATCTTTTTGATAATACAACAACAACTACTTATGTACATGGTTATTTTTGGTTAAACAGACAAATTCCGAGAATTGCATGAATACACAATGGAAATCGACTTAACTCCCAAGAAAACAGTTGGATTACAGGGAAGAGACCAACATGAAATTTTCTGATGACCAAGTTTGCAGACTCTAGCCAGCGGCCATATTACAGTTGAACTTGACCCTCGCTGCACTGCCTCTTGAAATTCAAGGCCTCGGCTGCCAGAAACTCACTATAGAAGCAATTTATATTAGTTAGCCCAGCCCAACAATGCTGGAACAAGGAAATAAGAGATTAAGCATAATGGTAAAAATCAAGCAACTAATGTGAAACACTCACTAAGTCCGTTCAGCCATCAGTGATAGTTCCCATCTTGGACTCCATGGATAATCAGTTATAGGACGCGACTTCATAGGTGCCATTTGCGAATTAAAATGCTACAAAATAACATGAAAAGAACCTCAATGGTAACAATATAGATAGCACAGATTATAGCTTTAAAAAGGATCTATCGTCAAACTCAAAAAATGCATAACCTCCCAAATCCCAATATAATGGAGGATAGCTAAAGATGTTAGACCCAATAGCCTGAGTATATGATCAGCTATAGAACAGCAAGATAATAACTAGCATGTACGTCAAAATAAACACAAATATTTACATTTGTTTCCACAATCCTGCTTCAAAGATTATCCTCAGTAACAAAGCAATTTTTTAGAAGACAAGAATAATCACCTATCTTATCAGTTAAAAGAACATTAACATGTTAAGGATTTGAAGTACAACAATTCTGCGAAAGAGGGCATGACAGTTTATGTTTCTAAATTGCATGGATACTATTAAGCTCTAGTCAAAATCTAAACATATCAGTATACATCACCTATCACCGAGTACAGAAATCTAAAGAGTATCAATCTCTTCGCTGTCACCAACAAAAGACTATAATATAAAAACTAAACCAGACAATCACCTCACAAGACTTATTTACACCAAGTGATTGAAAGAATTCAGAAATATACAATTGGCGTTTTGCAACAAAATCAGTAAATTTGATAGAGCCCCTATGTCAATACTGCTGAGCTCAATATTGATATTGGGGTGGTTCCACCTAGGCCCATTATTTGGAAGGTTTATTCTAGGAAGAGGGAGAGCGGGAACAAGTTGGTTACATGATGTGGAAGTTGTACTACTGTAATTGGGCTAGGGGGTTATGTGTAGGCATGAATAGTGGGGGAGAGGGTATCACTTATTTTGCTTGTTAGAGTAAGGAGAATTGTTCTCTGTTAGGAGCATTTTGTTCTCTGTTAGGAGCATTTTGGCTCTGGTTTATTTCTTTGTAACCATCATATTCCATAAATTTCAGTAAATAAACACCTATATTCCATATCAACTTCTTGAGGTCCTATCAAAATTCCACTATAAAGAACTTATTTATTGCTGCCTATATTTCTGTGCAGTAAATAATGCTCAATCTAAAATTTTACACAAATATTTGAGAGAAAGTGGAAGCAAATAAAACCTGTGAACTTTGAAGAATAATAGCTGGTTGTTGCTTTGGAAACTGAGTTGGAATTACAAAGTGTACCTAAGGTAAACAAAATTTTCAGAACTTTGGTCAATTGCAGGGATCAGACAATTAGTATAAGCTATGAAATGAAGAAAAATATCCATACAGTTATACAACATATGTATAATTCAGTGTCCGCCTAAGAAGTTAGAACATAAGACTACTTGGAAGACTAAATTCAAATATATAATTATGACACTACAACTCGCATGGAAGACTAACCCAGATACATTGATTACAGTTATACAATTTGGCATAGATGAAACTCATAGGTAGTGTGCATCAGAAGCAACATGTTTCTATCTACAAACCAGAAATGGGGATTGGATGACTGGATTAATGAATTCTGATTTCTAAGCATCCAGCCACAAAAATTGAACTAGTTTCAATGTCCTACAAGTAGGTCAGCCTCTCATTTCACAGGAAAAGTGCACCTCGCTACTATGATCGTGATAACTATAATACTATCTAGTAAAGTGCACCAGACTAATCTATGATTGTGATAATTATAGTAATCCTATCTAGTAAAGTGCACCTCACTACCATCTCTTTAACAAAATCGTATATTTTGATCATAACAAGAAAAGGAGAGGGAAAAAAGAGAGTACAATATATTATTGTTGAAATATTTACTCATTATTAGACTAGATACTACTTATTTTCATGTTTATTGCATTTTATTTCCTAAAATCACTCCTTAATTTGTAGAGTGCCTATATGTATTATCTCCTATAAAAGGAGCAATTATCATTGGATAAACATACTTTAAAATCATATAGTACTTTCATCATGGTATCAAGAGCCCTAGATTAGGGTGCTGTTGTAAAGTTTTCCACACCAAGTGGGGTTTGGGGCGTAGTCCAGTAAAAAATTTCCGAACCAGTTTTGCGAACAATCCGTTTTCTCAATGGCAGATCCCAACATGTGCCCTTCCATAGCTCAAGCCTTCACCCAACATGTACCGCCTTCCGTAGCTCAGGCCTTCACCAGCTCCTTCATCACTAACAGCTCTATCGGTGAGGTGGTCGGGGAGGCGGAACTGGCCACGAAGATGACAGTGGCCACAGAGATGGTACGAAAAGTCTCAAAGGCCGTGGTATGACCACTGTAATCGTCCATGACACACTAGTAAGACTTGCTGGAAACTCCATGGAAAACCTCCTCATGTGAAGAAGAAGGGTGATGGTCACACACTTCAAGCTACTACTTATGATCACGGGCAGCAATCTCCCTCAAACTCACTCCAGCTCCATCCAGTAGAGTAACTATACAAGCTTCTTGGGTTTCAAACCCCTTCATATTCCATAATCCATAAAGGTCATTTATTAGAGTAATTATACTGTGACAACAAGGTTGCAATAAGCATAACTCATAATCCATATCAACATGATCAAACATAGCATAGTGAAATTGATCATCACTTTATAAAAGAGAAAACAGACTCTAGAATACTATGTCTATCTTTTGGGCCTTCAACCAACAAATAGCAGACGTTTTTGACTAACAGCTTGGCAAGAATAAGTTTTGAACATTTGATTAGAAAGTTGGGCATGATTTATGTCTATGCACCAACTTGAAGGAGGTTGTTGAAATATTTAGTCATAATTATCCTACATACTATTTATTTTAATATTTATAGTATTTTATTTTATTTCCTAAAATCACTGCTTAAATTTGTGGAGTGCCTATATGTAATCTCTCTTATAAAAGGTGCACTTTATCACTGGAATAAACATATTCTGAAATTATAGAGTACTTTCAAGAATTATTAATTAATATTATCCTAGCATTCTATTACTTCTCCCTAAAACAAGTATTTGATTGCTGCTCAAACCAATGTAGTCAAGCACGAGATCTTAAGTAGGATTGGCCGACCGGTGAAAGATCGTAAAACTAGGATTGTCTGGTCAAGCACAAGATCTTAGTCAAGCACTTTTTTTTTACGATCTTGACCACGCCGACAATAAAAAAGATCTTGCTGTGATCGTAGAACGCTTTGGCATTCATGGCACGTGAGATCTTACGATTTAGCACTCGATCTTGACTACACTGGTTCCAACACTGTGATAGTCCAAGACATCATCAGACCCTCAAAAAGCCAGAAAAATAATTAATATGGCTTGTGTACTCTAGGAGAAATAAGAAAATAAATGGTCAGATTTAGCATATTTTGAAAGTTATGTAAATTATGCAACTAAATCAATTAGTTTAGAACGGACGGAGTAGTTGCAAAATATAGAAGATTATAGTTTTACTATTTACATGATACAATATGCCTATATAAGAATTACAAAAATCCTAAGTATATTTTCAACATCAACGGTAAAGGGCTGCTGCCTTAACGTAGTCGCATATTACCTATGTCTTTAATTGGCAGAACTTACCACAAATTATATGGTAAGCTCCATCATTCATGGAGAAAACATTAAGATTGACTTTCAAAAGCAAGTGTGTGTCACAATAAATGCACAGAAATCATGTATCCAGCAATGAGTGTCATATATTACCAGAAATGTAAAAACTCCAGAAGCAGACAGAAAAGTTGCCTTTCTGCAAAAGATCTGGAAACAGATAAATCATAAATTAGCAATTAAAATGAAAACAAAGCAATTGTATCAATTTGAAAATAAGTGTCAGTCAAGGGCAAATACAGGATCAGCTTCAACTGGCCTTCCTAACCAACCGGCCAACGCTTCAATGAAGTTCCTTCTAACATCAATTAATGAAACAGCCTCAAGGACCTAAGTTCAGAGTATATTTATAATAATTTAAACAGAAAACAATAATGTCTTGAAGCACTAGAGAGTGCATATTAAATTAATAGACAGCACAGTAAAGATAATTCCAGCTAACCTGTCTCCCAATATTTTCTTCTAGATTTGGAAGATATTCTGCCAAGCACCTTTCATAAAAGATCAACAACAAAAGCAGACACACTTTTTAAAACTATCTCAAGTCTCAACCTTGTATATGAATCAATTTGGGAATAGAATAACCAAAAATTGAAAAGCTTACATCCCATCCACCCAATGAGGCAGCTTGACATCATCGATGGAATATAGAGCTTTCAACTCAGAAGAAGATACTAACTGCAGGCGAGGAGCGGAAGAGGCAGACATATATTTTCTCCCAACAGGATATACAACCTAGGTTTAAAATACCATAAATAGTTTGTTTGAAAGCAAGTGAAAAATTCAAAAGAATCTTAAAAGATAAAAGAAAACAACTTGCAAGTATATCTTCTGTAATTGTCTCCAGGGACAACCAGACACCATCTTGTTTATGTTCATGTCCAGTAGGGGCACCGCAAATTTAACCTCCTCTGACTACACTAAAATGTAACATTGAAGAAGTCAAGAATATTGTTTAAAGGTTACATTAATTAGCTCGATCATCCATGAGTAGATCATAGAAATAGTAGCACTTTTTTTTCTGAAGAAATACCTTGTCAGCAGCAGAACTCATATGCATTTCTAGTCCCTGCAACAAATGTTTTAAATTATGTTAAAGGCTAAATAAACACTACCTACTAAACAAAGTTAGATCCAAAATTCAGACATGTGCTTTCCAATCCACGTCCAGAGGAGGAAGGGCACAGACTTCACATGCTAACCCAGTCAAATCGGATTTCCAATGCTTGTTCATTTCTTAAATTAAATTTTACACTAGTTTTGGTTATTTTTTCAAATTTGTGTATAACGCTTTTCCATTTCTTAAATTAAATTTTACACTTGCTTTTGTTATTTGTTTTTCAAATTTGTGTATGTTCATGCACAAGTGGGAACATGTATAACAAAACGATCAGAAGTGGGAACATGTCAAACTCCCATTGATTAATTTCTCGCTCAAACACTTTTTCATTTCTTCAATGAAACTTAACACTAGTTTTCTGATTTTTCCGAAGTTAACACAGCCAATTGACAAGATAAGCAATGAGTTGAAAGTTGAATACAAATATTAAAAATGACTTGCCTCCCTGGAAACAATAGTACTGACTTCAAATTTCAACCTATCATCATCAACTTCTCCGACACGCTTCCCTTGATACAGCACATATTGATCCCTATCAAAACAGCAAAACAAAATCACCATTATCCATTCATCCAAACCACAAAGGTCTGCACGGATTTGGTTATTTGAGTTTATCTAATAGCATAAGCTCTTGTGAGATTGTTTGAGAAAGCTTATGAAAACAGTTTATGACATATTTATAAGTTGTTCTCAATTTATTTCATAAGCTCTCTTAGATAGTTAGTGTGACAATAATTTATAGTCTACACGAAATCAGTTTAAATTTAATCCTTGTTTGGATAAATAGCTTAATTAAGCGCACTTAGGTAGAAAATATTTCTATAACAAAAGATATAATAAAGTCAAACTGTTTTCATTTAACCTATAACGGAATTGTCAAACGTTTTCATAAGCTATCTATCCTGAAGAGCATATGAAAATCAGCAAAGAAAACCCTAATAGAATTGTCAAACGGTTTCTATAAGCTATCTCAAACAAACTCATATGTGTGCATATCACTAAATCAGCTCAAGTAACTCCATACAAATAGACCCTTATTTCATCTTTTGTTATACAAAATCAGTGCTTCTGCTATTACTTAATTATTATGATCATGCAAACAAGGCGAATTCACAAAAAGAGAAGTTACCTCAAGAATTGAATAAGAGCCAAGAGACGTGTGGGGTCTTTGTAATTCCAATCGGACAACAAAGAGTCGATATTATCATTAGGTTCAAGAGAAGGTGTCATATGAAAGGGATGAAAATGTTCATCTTCAGGGCCGAAAATGACATCGGGTGGAGTAGTAGGAGACTCAGCGTCGTATATAACATCCCCTAAAACAATCACAAAATTACAAAACCCTAAGTTCATATTGATATTGATGAAGATGAAACGATGAATACGAAAGAAAATGCATACATTTGATGAAGTCTAAGCAATATGGAATGAGGAGGGTGAAGCGATCGATGAATCCGTAATTGTATTTGTCACTGGACCACATTTGATCAACCTGAGTAAAGAAGAAAAAACCCTAAATGTGAGTGATTGGGGAATGGAAATGAAAATTATGGAAAGAATGAAAGAGCGGTGGTTGTTGCCTTGAGGGTGAGACGGGAATGAGAGAGGAGGTGGCTGAGTTGAGCGGCGATGAACGGAGGGACGTTATCGGTACCTACACCCATCTTTGAGATTCTAGTTCTGTTCTCTGGTTCTTTCACTGCTATGCTCACAAATCGCAAGTACGTTACTCGTCTACTCTCGCAATTCAAATAGTGTTTAATCGAGTAGAAGATCAATCTCACAAATTTTTAGACTTTTTAAAGATATTTTATAGATTTTGGTCTCATTTTATAAATTTTACAATTTTATTCTTTCTATTTGTTCAATTTTTAATTTTTTTTATTGGATAACAAAAATAATCTTCTTAAAAGTTACATTTATTATTTTATAATTCGTGATATTATTATGTATGAGTTTTTATACTTGATCTGACCTGATCAGGAGGGATCACGGACTGGTCACACTTCGCTGGACGGTTATCTGTTCGCCGAGGTAAGAACGAGGAGGGGGGTGTACCTGCAAAGCACTCCGACGCCCAAGTAAGAAGTTGGACAGAGAGGAAGCAATAGTACAGAAAGGGGGCAAGAAGAGTTACCTGACCCTCTTGAAGAAGAGGGTATTTATAGAGAGACCCCAGCGCGGGGCCAACGGTCATTCGAGGTGGGTCGGACGACCAGGCCCAACCCTAATGACTGCTAGGGCTTACGTGGTGTAGTGAAGACCAGGACGTGGTCTTCGCCCTAGTTCAACCGCTCCTAGGTCTCCGGAAAGTGGGTTTGACCTGCTCTTTCGGAGGTGGGCGGTTGGCCGATGACGTGTCCCCGCGGAGGGGAGCACGTGGAGAACGTGCGCCGAGCACGTTATTCTCCCGCGGAGGGAGCCCGGTTGGTCTTGTACGTTCGGCATGACGGAAGCCGGCGGAAGGGGGCGTGGAGCGGTAGCCTGTGCCCGGCGGCCAGCCCCTGCTCGTTCGAAGGGCGCGTGCCAGGTGTGCCCAGTTCGCTTGCTGGGCCGCATTTGGTATTGGGTCTGCCGAGGTGAGGCCCACACCGGAACAATACTATTTATAAAAGATTCGCAAATTCTTGTTATGTTAGACTAGCAAAAGTGTCAAAAACAAATGATATAAAATTATGATGATTGTCGTATCAGTGTTATAATTAGTTTTTTTATAGTTCAACATCATTTTAATCATATATATTAAAATGGTCATGCTAACTAGTGTTCTTGGGGCAAAGGGCACTAGTTAAGAATTCTAAATAAATAAAAAATGTTATGTTCAGTTCATTAAATACACACAATATTTTTAAATAAGTTGAGTATTTATGTTTTTAATGCATTGAATACACATATATTTTTAGAAAAAAAAATTATTTTTTTAATTTCTTAAATAATACTCAACTTACCATTTTAATCTCTTAATCAATGCCTCAGAAGCACTCGTTAGCATTTTCCATATTAAAATAAAAATTATAACTTCAAACTTTTAATTAAATTGTATAAAAAAGTTTTAATTAAAGAAAGTAATAATTAATACATGCATACTTTATTATTTATTATATAATGTTATGAACCAACTAAAGGTTCAAATTATTAAGGCACAATTCTTTTTAAATTCACTCCACTTAGTTTAAGGTATAAAATCAGTTCACACGCTAAGAGTAAAGTACAGTCTCTGGTATCCATTTTACACTACACTCATTTTAAATTTTTAACTGACTTAGGCGTTGCAGTGTTAACCATGCAAGTCCACTCAGCGCCATCGTAAAGGAGATCAGAGTCATCGTTCGCAGTCTCAGTTTTCCAACTGCATCCATTTATGGTTTCCAAACGGAATAATGGCACCGTTCGTAGGAATCGACTTCTGATTCTTACGGTTTTCATGATTTAAGATGTAATCTCTGATTTACTAGTTCATAACCTCATTAGGTCACTGAATCAAGAATAAATTTACTTCTTGCTTCCATGTTTTTTATGAATTCACAATCGTTTTCTAACTTCACAGTTCATAACTTCCTCAAATCTCAAAATCGATAAATGCTCAAAAGCGAACACAAAGATTTATCATAGTTGATTCAATCAATGATTATTTCTGCTTCAATTCCTCAAATTCCAGATTTCTGGTTCCCTCGAGTGTAACGCCCCCTTTCTATACCCCAAAATAATCACATATCAAATCATATAGTCATGAATACAAGTGTTTTTATTTTTATCAGAGTATATTTACATTTAGGTATAAAAGAAGTGCGTCACAATACTCACGAAACGACCACATGAATATTAATGTTTAAAAAGAATTAACTCAAAAGGGGTAAATCTCAACTAAAAATAAACGCATGATTCTTCGAAATTACATATTCATGTTTTCTCTTAAAGCGGAAGACTAAAACATATATGTATTCACCTAAGACATGACAAAACGTAATTACATGTCATCTGGTTGTTCACAACTCTATTCACATATAAACAAAACATCATTAAGGCAATCAACAAGCCTATCTACCCAAAGTTACATATCAGAGCGACCGACACGAGGGAAAGGAACTATACTCCAAAGGAAACCTCCAGCGAATCCTAATCTGCAATGCCTCGCAGGCATCATAAAACAACAGAAGGGTGAGAAACATTATCATAATAATCAAGGCATAATATATATATATATATATATATATATATATATATATATATATATATATATATATATATATATATATATATATATATATATATATATATTCATATATAGAAATACTCAAGTACCGAATGCCTATATTCTACAGCTTTTCACTACGGTGCGTAATAATAAATTCTCACCACATCCAATACACTTAAACATATACACTCACACTAAACCATCCATCCATTAGTCAATATCCTACACATTCATTTATTCGCTATCCGCGTCCCATCAATTCCTGCACGCGTGCATATTACATATAACAACCGCAACCATGCCGTGCGATTCGTATAATACTCATCTAATGTCCTCAATCCTCTTTCCGGGTTATGGGCATATCGCTCATGCCCTACCGGGAACAACATCTCAATCATTCTACCCCGGTAACTTCTTCACTAGGAACGACACATTGCCATCCTACCCTAGTGAGTACAACTCCTCCACGCTTACTTCAACGTCATCCTCCCATCTATCAGACCATACATACATATATACTATTATATTCTTAGAGATTATTCTACGTTCATCATCTGAAGATGATAGTGCAACTCATAGGGACCGACTCATTCGTCCGCCAGATTCTCCTATGAACCTATCACTTATCAAATCCTCCACGGGATCAAATATAACCATCGCATCAAGCGAGGTTCTGCAGATCCTACACGGAATCAAATATAACCATCGCATCAAGCGAGGTTCTGCAGATCCTACACGGAATCAAATATAACCATCGCATCAAGCGAGGTTCTGCAGATCCTACACGGGGTCAAATATAACCATCGCATCAAGCGAGGTTCTGCAGATCCTACACGGGATCAAATATAACCATCGCATCAAGCGAGGTTCTGCAGATCCTACACGGGATCAAATATAACAATCGCATCAAGTGAGGTTCTGCAGATCCTACACAGGATCAAATATAACCATCGCATCAAGCGAGGTTCTACAGATCCTACACAGGATCAAATATAACCATCGCATCAAGCGAGGTTTTGCAGATCCTACACGGGATCAAATATAACCATCGCATCAAGCGAGGTTCTGCAGATCCTACACGAGATCAAATATAACCATCGCATCAAGCGAGGTTCTGCAGATCCTACACGGGATCAAATATAACCATCGCATCAAGCGAGGTTCTGCAGATCCTACACGGGATCAAATATAACCATCGCATCAAGCGAGGTTCTGCAGATCCTACACGGGATCAAATATAACCATCGCATCAAGCGAGGTTCTGCAGATCCTACACGGGATCAAATATAACCATCGCATCAAGCGAGGTTCTGCAGATCCTACACGGGATCAAATATAACCATCGCATCAAGCGAGGTTCTGCAGATCCTACACGGGATCAAATATAACCATCGCATCAAGCGAGGTTCTGCAGATCCTACACGGGATCAAATATAACCATCGCATAAAGCGAGGTTCTGCAGATCCTACACGGGATCAAATATAACCATCGCATCAAGTGAGGTTCTGCAGATCCTACACGGGATCAAATATAACCATCGCATCAAGCGAGGTTCTGCAGATCCTACACGGGATCAAATATAACCATCGCATCAAGCGAGGTTCTGCAGATCCTACACGGGATCAAATATAACCATCGCATCAAGCGAGGTTCTGCAGATCCTACACGGGATCAAATATAACCATCGCATCAAGCGAGGTTCTGCAGATCCTACACGGGATCAAATATAACCATCGCATCAAGCGAGGTTCTGCAGATCCTACACGGGATCAAATATAACCATCGCATCAAGCGAGGTTCTGCAGATCCTACACGGGATCAAATATAACCATCGCATCAAGCGAGGTTCTGCAGATCCTACACGGGATCAAATATAACCATCGTATCAAGCGAGGTTCTGCAGATCCTACACGGGATCAAATGTAACCATCGCATCAAGCGAGGTTCTGCAGATCCTACACGGGATCAAATATAACCATCGCATCAAGCGAGGTTCTGCAGATCCTACACGGGATCAAATATAAATACACAGCCACTAGGAATGATGTTATATCATTCTACCCTAGTGCACCCATCAATCACACCTCATTCGGAATACTCCTAACGCACTACAATATTGTTTGTGCCTCATTAGGAACGATATCACGTCATCCTACCCAAATGAGCCCGCAACTAGGAATGATATCACATCATTCTACCTTAGTATAATCCACTCCGACACTACGTTCACTACTCAATGCCCACATAATTCTATTATGTTCTCATACATTCATATTATCATGCCAACGACAACGAACTCGATCATCTCGTCATGCAATCCTATTCGATCTAGCGATTGCATAAAATTGTCGATCGGCCACACTCACGCTTCACAAACCATAAACTAGGATTCACGCCATTCGGCTACCCACAGCACCTCACGGGTCAGCATACCCACTTTTAAATCGGGGGAAGGTTGATCGCAATCA